GACTGCGCGGGACACACGCTAGGGAGAAGAAGAGGCGTAGTTCTTACCGCAAGTCACCATTTACTTGCGCAAGTTATGCCCGTTTTCGAACTTGATATCCACCATACACGCACACTAAGTTATTGCACACCTACAGGTGCAAAAAAATGACACTTTGCCTCCACATTTGGATTGGAATTTCTCAGGAGATTGCACAATTATAGCTACAGTCTCAAGAAGCTATCCATCAGGTAATGATTGAAGAAGTTATCACCGCGCTGGAGCAATCACGGTAGGTCTTCTTGAGCTCAACGGTGACGGTAGATGACGTCATTTTCTGAAGACATTGAGGACAGTGGAGGAGAGCTTGTTTCTACTCATCGAGAAATTCATTAATATTATGCTGTAGGATACCCGTCAACGGCGGCAACCTATCTAACGAAAAAAAAATCGCTGAGTGCGACACTGGCGAAGTTGCAGAGAGCGTTTGTTATTGTGCATTAATTGTTGTTTTGGTTTTGTTGAATAAACTTATGAGTAGAAGCAAATCTGCGGATAATTTTTGCCCAACCTAATAGAAAAATCCAAATTTACCCGGCATAGGTTGATCTGGACAGCAGCATTCTTATCTCACCCTAGAGGTGGGTAACGTCAAAACACGACGCCAGGTGAAAAACCAGCATCCGACTCATGTCGAAATCAGGTTGATAAGGAATTAATAAGTAGAATGCCAACATTGCGCTTGAGGGAGAAAAATAGGGAAATTTGATTTCAAAACTGTGCAGTATGTACTTTCAGGGTAATATCTGCTGCCGGACTCCTATGCCGGTCGGGAACTGTTTGCAATGTTTCACTTGAAAATCAATAAAAATTCATTTCGGCTCGTCTATCACATGCATTCACAAAGCACAAACGTTCGCGGATCGCACTCTCCCATAGACGTCAATTTTGAGGCATTCGATGATGCCAATCGGACTACAGAAACACTCGAAAATGGAGGAATACGCTGTGATACTGCGAGTGCTGAGGTTGTTGAGGTAAACAGGTGAAGACGGCATCTTTATAGCATACATGTATGTGCACAGGGATAAGAATTCTTCTCTACAGATACCTCGGCGTCACTATTAATTCATCATCTGTTCTCCGCTCCTTCACCGGTGAATCGGTTGACAACGGTCCATCAGTGCTAGCGCTTTCCGTTTCGCTTTTCTGGAAGGGTAGTGTATTATTTATTTGAGGAATAAAGGCTTTGTCTAGAAACAAACCGTCTTTTGTCCTGAAGTTACGCTCATTGTGCTGACGCCACTCGTGTCACTAAGCGATGAGGTCGGTCGTGAAGAGGCTGTAATTCATATTTTGAATCTTTGCTACATGGTCTTTGCTCTACCGGACTCTCTACCGCTTCAGGTCAACTTTCTCTTTCCCAACAGAGCAAAAGTGTCCATCAAAAATACATTTTTAACCACAGTTTTAGTTCTCGATTTGAGATGCGCCGTGCACTCAACATTCATTCAAAATCGCTGAGGAATTTTAAAGGAATCTTGCGCGGAAAATTCTTGCACTCTTTCCTAACATGAATATGTCAGTTGTGATCACTGGAAATAGCACACAAAGTTTCACGCATGAAGATTCGGTTTCTGAAGAGAAACAAACGTACAAAAACTACACGTTATGGACCATCGAAGGACCAGGAGGCAGAGCCAGGCGAGGCATGGAAAGAAGACGGCGTTTGGCCGGCTACGTACCAGGCGACGCAATGAGAGAATCGGGTTAAAGCGCGCGATTTCGGAGAGTGGAGACAAATCGATCGATGGAATAGGATGGAGTAGAAGTGTAAGATGTGAATGCAACGAAGCAGAAGGCCAGAAAGAGCTTCTAGTGAATGCACTCCAAGAACCAAGTTTGAGCATCCCCGTCGCCAGCATTCGTGAAAGACGTCCGTGGGCAATTCGAACGCGTAGCAGCCTTTTCGAGTTTTCGAATTTCTAATCAAAACGAAAGCAATACTTCAGTTCTTTTCACTATTATCGTGGATAATGAGTCTCAAGCCAGTGATTTATGGCTGAAATAGAATCATGATTTTTCCGCGCAAGATTCCTTTAAAGTATTCAGGGATAAAGTATACGAGGATAGCGAAATCGAATTCTTTGTCGTTCGTGACAACAATGGCCGAGCGATGATCTGGCTTGGATTCCAATTAAAGGCAAGCCCCGGGAATAAATGTGTGTGTAAGAGCTTCCAGTAATGAAGTTCTGGCTAGGTGTGATTTGGGAAGAAAGATAAGGCAGAGGAAACCGCCGATCATGTTCCGAACACGGCCACCTCTGTCACCAGCATTCCACCTTGGGATGGAGAAGGGGCGTGTTCGGAAGTTTTTTTTTTTTTGACATAGCCGCACAATCTGCCATCTTTTGGTCTTATATCCTATCTTATAGTGGTATTAGCCGCAATGTCGTAACCCACGTTGCTTTCGGCAGCGGCCGCCATCAGCAATGCTTACAATAACCGCGGTGGGCGAGGAGGGTTGCACGGTCGATAGTTGCAGTACTACGTAACGAATAGCGTCATCTCCGCCATTTTGAGCGGCGAAGGTGGTACCAGCTGTTTACATATGTACCTAGCGTACCTAACACCTTCACGGGCAGTAGCTCCCTGCTATACAAACCTAATCCGAGGCTTGCCTGCGTTCACTCAGAGTGTGAGTAATCCTCCCTTCCCCCCCCCCCCAAGCCCTCAATGCTCGCTTCTTTGATTGCGAGCTGCTTGGGAAAATCGCGTATCCTGCATAGAAGTTATATCCATCGAGCGGTCAAAAACTAGACTGCAACAAAATTTCCGATAATGAGACGCCCATATTGTGTCTCTCCACTGCAACATCCACCCTCAATAGCTCGTTTGCAAAAAAAGCTAGGAAAGTTACCATGTTGTGCTGCTGATTTCCTTAATCGGCGGACCATATCCTTAGTGAAGAGCACCTCCTCGTCGTCGCTCGTGGAACTGCACTCCTCTTGCATTGTATTTGTGGGCTGAATGTCGTGTCAAAAAGGCACTGCGATGCGCACTGGAACGAAAAAAATCAACGGCAGCGATGACTGGCTCGACATTGAACGGCATAGCGTTGATTCACAAAAGTCCGCTACCATACTATTATAATTTCAAGAGAAATTCTTGATGAGTAAAACCTTTCATTGTAACAGTAATGGTAAAGCATGAGCGAGAAGTGGTATTACACCTTCCTGCACATTACGCCACGTCACTTCGACTTCTAGAGGCTTTTCTCGTATTGCAATACTGTTATGTGGAGATAGCAGCTACAGGAAAATGAAAAAATGCAAAGTATAACAATAAATACAAGGTCAAGAAGGAGTACGTATTTGTGGGAATTCATGATTTCCATATCCTACTATATATAAGCGGCTAGCGTGTGTCTGTTGGTGTGTGTGTGTGTGTGTGTTTGACCGGAAATTCATAGCTCGAGTCACAGTAACGATAGCGCAGTGGTTCTTACATATGTTATAGGGGGTGGGATGGGGACACAAGTGGTACGTGATAGGAACTGATAACGACTGATAATAGCTGATAAGAGGGGCTAGAAAGCGAGCATCGCCAATTTCGTTTTGCCGTTCATATTGGTAAAGAGCGTCTATACTTACAAGTCTTATGTGGGGCGGTCCCGGGACATTGGTGGTACATGATTGGAAGCGATAGCAACTGATAATGGCTGATAAGATGCGCTAGAACGCGCGCCAGAACGCAAAGTCGTCGATTCCGTTGCCTGGCTGGCCTCGCGTTGACACCAGAGCAACCATACTTACAAGTGTTATGTGGGGTGGGACGGGGACATTGTTGGTGGGTGCCAGAAACTGATAACGATTGATAAGGGCCGATAAGGCGCGCCAGAACGCAAAAGTCGTCGATTCCGTTGCCTGGCTCGCGTTGACACCAGAGCAACCATACTTACAAGTGTTATGTGGGGTGGGACGGGGACATTGTTGGTGGGTGCCAGAAACTGATAACGATTGATAAGGGCTGATAAAAGGCGCTGGAACGCAAGTGTCGCGAAATTCATAGCGCGGGTACCAGAAGTCATCAGGAGTTGATTTCAAGATATGATACAGGGGTGGGACGGGAACATACTGGGTGGGGGACAAAAAGCGATAACACCTGATAAGGGCTGATAAGATTGATCAGGGTAAAAATGAAGAACCGCTAAACTATTTAGTTTGCGATTTCGTCGTTGCCATCGAGATTGCTTAGACCGCTAATCTTTCCGAGCTTTCTGGGATGGTCGGTGTTTGTGCATAATGGGTGTTGGTGCTTCTCTTTCAATGCCATAGACGTAACAATGGACGTAAGAATTGCAACCGCTAGAATATCTCAACATCCAAAGCATGATAGTTGTCCATGCATAGTCCTGATAGCGTAAACAACTATCGTGCAACTTCAACAAAGGTATTAGTTATCTGAGCTTATTCGGCCGCTAGACCATGTTCTTTTCCGAAAAATGATGGACGTTTGTGGGGTTGACGAGCTCCCGTAAATAATTGCTTTATCACCAGCAGTAAGTCATCTCTCAGATCCATCAGAAGCATGAGTGCTGTTCAACACAAGGGCCCGGCTGTGCTCATTTTTGTTACCGCCTATGTACTTTGACGCGCGGTAGCGAGCGAAGCCAAACTCATTAAACCGCTCAACTTTAGGATTTGCGAAAGTGTGAATGTAAAGCAAAGATAAGCATCAGATCTCACTTTTTATAAGGAGCATATTTCATTTTCATTCTAAGGCTAACAGCAAAACTCTAATCACCGCTAAATTGTCAGGATTCAAGAAAAATGCTAGGTGTTTACGAGTTGTGATAAATATACCGACTCAGCTTCGCATTCACGCGCATGTATGATGGACTTCAATGAAAGTGACGATCCTCCAACCTCAGGTCACTCCACTGACATATCCAATAGTGAGCTGCTTTGTGGAGTAGATCACCAGATGTTCCTTAAGTCCTCCAGTTTCGCTGAAGCCTACCGTGTTATGCGCGCGATAGCGGGCGGAGCAAAACTGGTTAAGGTAGAAATGGTCGCACAGGTCACGGAAGTGTAAGGAAAGAGTATCCCAGTCGGGGAACGCCATAGCACATAGGAAATTGCTCTCGCCGGTGAAATATAGTCCAGGGGGGGGTCACTCATATCTAATCGAAGTGGAGCTGTGGAAGAGCACTATCTTATCAAACGTATAGTCATCATATCTTTCATTGAGACCGTGGCCTATGACCTCTACGTCACACTTGTTCCCCTGTCGAGGAAAATAGCTGGACACCTTGCTGACTCTTCACTTTAACCAAACCTTCTTGCGATCGCCAAGCAAGCCGTCGAAGAAAGAGCCTTCCAGGTATCCGATTTTGTACGAAATCTCGGGCCCATATCCCTTTCTAGACGTACAATTAGAGCCAATATTTTTAACACGTTGACGACCGCCGTTTTGTGCACGTACTGCTTCAACATTTTTCGTATTCTCTCATCGATAGACTGTCATTATTATCAGTAATGAAAAAATTGTTTTTCGGGTCCAGTAATGTACATAAATAGACCGCTGTGGGAGAGGAAAAATTGCTGAATGAGTTGAGAAAAACCAGTCTGCTCCAGGTGAAAGTGAGGTATGACATCATACCAAACGGTCGTCAAACGTGTTAATGTTGATTAGACACGAGTGCCCTTCTGCAGCACCCCTTTGATTAGATCTTATCACTGCGATTAGATATAATGAGTGCCCCCCCCAAACTACATTTTCACCACTCACCTAATCTATTCCTCCCCATCAAGCGAGGTTCTCCAACAATGGCGTAGCATGATCCAAAACTCGGTTTTGGAACCGTGTAGTAGAAGCCGTTCATGAGATACCTCTATACTTTTTAAGATTCCCCAGATGGAAACATTGAAATAACTGCAACACATTCGCTCCACAAAAAGCATAATATAGAGCTGGACGGGGACTAATTAGGAGCCGAACGAGTTCTTAACGTTGATAGAAAATTTCTCAAGTGATAACAAACATAAGTGTCTATTCTGTCACGTTACTTCATTATTATTTCAATAATTTTGTATTTTGTGTCATTGTTATCTCAATAATGTAGGCAAAAGTCGTGTTGCGACAAGGGGTGCCGCTGATCGAGCGCACAGTTCGGGGATCGAGCCGTGATCAACAGCCGTCCGGATTTCTTCAAACGGAGGCTTCATTTGTGAGCCGGCGCGAACTGTCGTGGCGATGAAAGAGGAATGGGAGGAACGTATAGAATTCGCTGAGAATAAACTGTGAGATACCAAAAGCCCTTCCATCAACCTACGCCTATTTTCGAGGACGTTTTGGGTGGGAGTTTAAGTGTGTCAAGTGAAGGCAGGTCGAGTGACGGTGTTTATTCCATCGGCCGTTGGTGGTGAGGGGAGGGGGAGGGATGGGGTTGTATGCGACATCCCCTTCAAGAATTGAGTCTTGAAGATTTTGAAATTAGCGCAATGCGACGGTTGACCATTGGCCGAATCCAGTGCCGATTCGACCATACCTTCCATAATCTGCGTCATTTAGTGGTCTGGGAGGATAAACCCTCAACATCGACTAGCCCACGCAATTCATTGTACTTGCCGAATTGCTTTAAAGTGCAATTGCGATTCTCAATAGAGTGCGTAGGTTTGATCAGCGCTACATGCTTCATTATTGTTACCCTAGTAAGAATAATAACATCGAAACCGTATAAGTCCAAGAAAAAGCTACAAAATGTCGTAATAGTGTATGTCATTTCCCTACTGGAAAGGTAGAACATCGTTGTGTGTATACATAAGTTGTATACATTCAACAGGGAACCAGATGTGGACAGTGCTTTTGTTCCTATTCAGCGCGCCCAATTCTTTTGTGTGTAATCAACCACCAAGTCACATCGTTATATGCATTTGTCAAAGAAAATCTGCCGGAGAAAGTCTCTTCAAAAAATCCACCTCGAAAGATAGGGAGACGTTCAGTTCTCCTACTGGCGTCAGTCACCAGCGCGATAATTGAGCCTAAAATTAAGTTTGGGTCTAGGCTGAGGCTTCGACTTATGCTTTCGGAATGGGAATGAGTGATGTCTCAACTTTAGGTGACCTGAAACTCGATCTTTTTGGGTCTTTTGAAAGATCTAGTCAATCGAATGAAAAGCTCTTTGTCTCATTCAGAGTCTACTGCCAGGTTTCCGTTACTTTATTGTCGTACCGTAGTGAATTAAACACTATCTACGCAATACTTTTTTTGGATGTACACCTAATAGATCATTTTCTGGAACCTTTTGAATGTATAAACACCCACATAAGGTCTCTAAACCAACATCGTTGACGACGTGAAGTTTTAGCTTCCATGCCAACGATCTTATAGTGGCTCAAGGTTCAAGTATTTTAAACCCTCCAGAACAATATGGTGCCATCTGGATGATCCCACAGTACATAATGGTTAGCTAGTCTGAGCGAAGTACATCTGCGAGCCATGCATAAGGTGGTGCCGCTTTTACATTTCTACCCTCTCGCTCCCCCCCCCCCCCTGCACTCAACCTGGGCAAACAATTGAAATTCCATGAATACTACCGAGAATTGGTTACCAGAGGACTTAGCAGTTTTCCGCCGATTAAACCGATTAACTTGGAATGGGCATTTGAAATGTGAATAGCGTAACCAGTTCTGTACCATGAATTCTTTTCAACAATAAATATTTCTTTGAATCCTGGTTGCAACAAATTGTCACCTTTACGGTGATCCTTGCAGGGGTATAATTTCAGTAATTTGTAATTGGCCATTTTCCTTTCAAGTTTCGTTTCCTCATAGCAATCTACTATTAGAAAATATGAATTATGGGATACGAACACCGTATTTGAAGCTGACATAAATTTATTAGAACCTTTCTGAGCTTTGAAATGCTACCTACTGTGAATTTTTGGAGTTCAAAAAATTA